ACTGATACTTCTGGGATGGGACAGGAATGTTTGTTCCCTTTTGCGTGACCCTGTTATTGTTCTGTCTTCATAAATACCATCCAGGAAGACTGGATTTTCTCTGGCCTGGAGCCAGGTGGTGGAAAAATCCTTTGCCCTGGGGCCCTTCTCTGGTCCATAGGGCAGGCATCTGACCATTTCTGACTCGGCTCACCAACCCCTCATAGTGGCTCCTGAAGGGATTGTTGAACTCTGGGAGGAAAGAAGGGGTTGGTTAGCCATCATTTCCTGGTTATAACAGTGGATAGGTCTTTGTTCTGGACACTTTGCCAGGCACACTGCATGTGCTGTCCTTTTATACCTCCCCACCATCCTCTGACATCATCATTAGCACCTGCAAAACCCAGAGAGGTGAAGAGGTTCATTCAGGGTCACACAGCTAATAACCCAGAGCTTTCTGACACCACAGCCAAAGATCACAGCATTCCAGACTTTGGAGGTTTTAATACTTTCTGACCACCCATAAACATGGGAACAAGGGTTGCCGGCAAGAAATTTTCATATCTGTGTTCTGTTTCTATGTTAATTAGCCCTGGCAGGGTGCTTAGGGTTGATTTCAGTCTGTAAGTTTTGGGGTCAGATATTCAGGACATTAAAAGAGAGAGAGAGAGAGAGAGAGAGAGAGAGCGAGAGCGCGAGCGCTTCCCTTTCTATATCGGGAGGTCCAGCGTCAGGAAACCTAGGAGGGCTGCTTGATCTTTCTTTTCTTGTTCCTGATGAGTTAGAAGACCTTTGGTGCCCGGGAGCCCTGTTGCTTTAAGCCTAAGCCCTGGTTTGGGAGGAGACTGGGAGGGCAATGGAGGGTGCCCGCCTACCTGGGGGAACCTGCCGGAGGTGAGGCTGGAACCGCTCGGGATGCGAGGTGGGCGGGGGCAGGCTGAAAGTTGGAGCAAGCAGGAAGTGAGCCGAGGGCCGCCCGGGAGGAAACAGACTAGGCGAGTTTGCCGCTGACAGGCCTGAGCCGCTTGGAGACATGGTGAGCGAGCTGGAAACCAGGAAGGGGCTGATTCAAAGACGGGCCAGAGTGGGCTGGGGGCTGGGGATCAGGAGAGCGCGGGGGCAAAGTCGGAGGGCTGGGCCAGGGCTGACTGGCCTTTCTCCTTTGACAACTTGACTGCAAAAAGTTCGGAGCTGCCTGGGCGGGTGTTCCTGCTTCTTCTCTACTCCCTCCCCTGACCTCTGTGCCGGCCTGGAGCAGGGTTTCGGTGGGGGTGGGGGATCCGAATTCCAGGCGAGGAGCTGCTGAGAGGCCTTTCATCTCCTCCTCCAGCCCTCCAGCCGCCGGGTGTTGTGACACCCCTGGGCAGCACCTCTGAAGTTCTCAGGGCGGATTCCAGCCCAGCGGCAGAAAGCCCCCCCCCCCCCCCCCCCCGCGCGCGCCTCCCGCCTGCCTTTCACTTTAGCCCTAACCCCAGGAATCTGTCTCTCTGCCGGGTCTGAGGAATCAGCCCCCTCTCCATAAACGTGAGGAAGAGAACTAAGGGTTTGTAAAAGAACCAGAAGTTGGATTTCTGTGATAACCCATTTAGTTTGGACCCACGGCTCCAGGCCTGTTTCAAGAGGTCTAGTGGGTCAGGGTGGGAGGAGCTTAATAATGGTTTTCCCTCCTTGTTCAAAAACCTTATCATCAGCCAGGGCAGACTGGCCCTCCATTTCCCCCAACACCCAGGCTGCTGTTTTTATTTAATATCTGCTTAAGCAGGCAGTCGTGGCTTGGTGCCTGCGCATGGTGCTGTGTGGTGGGGAAAGCAGAAGTTTGTGGTGCAATGACTGTCCCTCATGGGGCCTGGTGAGGGACTTAGAGCCTGGTTGCTGTTGCTCTGGGTCACAGCAGTTAGGCTGGAGCCTGGGACCCGAACTGCTCTCCAGCTACTCTCTTGCAGGGAAGGGGGGGTGTGCTAGCTGAGGGTGTTCTGCTGCCCAGCACACATATTTGTAACAAGGACCCTTTGGTAAGTAATGGTTTAGGGTTTCTACTTTGTAAGATGCCTGCTCAGCAGTTCCCTCTAACCCAATCAGAGGAGCAAGGAAACAGTGGAGAGGGATTTAGTGCTGTGTTTCTTTTCCTCATCAGGGGCCCTGAGAACCTGAAAAGAAATTTGATCCAGTCTGTCTAGCATCAGCACTCAACTTCTGAGACTTAAAAATGCATTTATTTTTTGATTACATGAGTAATACATGAAAACATTCTTTTTGTAAACAGTTCAAACATTAAAAAAAAAAAAAAAAGCTAAAGTCCATCATAGGCCTTCTCCTCCTCCGGCCTCTGAGGCTGAGTCTCAGTTCCTCCACTGCTTGACCTAATTAACCCCTGTGTTGCTGCCCAGGAGGAGGCCAGTGGAGGTGGAGGAAATGATCGTGTACGGAACCTGCAGAGTGAGGTGGAAGGAGTCAAGAATATCATGACCCAGAATGTGGAGCGGATCCTGGCCCGAGGAGAAAACCTGGACCATCTCCGCAACAAGACAGAGGATCTGGAAGCCACAGTGAGATGGGGAGCCCACTGGGGGTAGAGGAAGAGAGGGGAGGGTAGGATTGTTGAGGTTTGGGGGTTGGTGGTGGTGGGGGCAAAATGAATAGGAGGAAAGTCTGCCTTTTCACTTGTTTTGGGAATTGATGAGCGAGTCCCCAGTTCTGATTCTGCTGTATTCCACTGATTGGGACTGGGATCCAGGGAAGGGGTCCAACGACTGGGGAGGGTGGATGGGGCTGACTGTTGGAGGTATTTTCTGAGACAGACGACCCTGGTCAGGCCTTGCATTCTTAGGCTTCTCTCCCATGAAACTGATTTTTCTCTTTGAAGGCTTCCCTTGACAATCATTTGGACCTGACCTCCCCAGGGCAAAAATATTGGCTCTGGAAAATCCTCCTAGGGCCTTTGGCCTTCTCTGGGAGTTATTTGGCAGGGGGTAGAAAACTGCTGGAGTTTTGCTGAGTCTGCTTTCAAAAGAAGCTGGGAAGAGCAGTGAAATTCTTTGATCAAAGGGTCCTCTGCTAACTGAAGGCTAGAATAATATCTCCCACACATCTTGCTAGACCTCATTCCTCTCTCTCTCCAGCCAGGGGCTGAAGCCAGCTGCTCAGGGAGGGAGTAACTCTAACAAAGTAACTCCAATAAAGGCTGGAGCCTAAGGTTCCACATCCACAGGGAGAGACTGGCCGTGGCTTTCTGAGTCCTGTGTGTAATCTTGGGTATAGGTCCTTTGTCTCCTATCTCCCTGGGACTTAGTGTTTCTTTCCATAGCCTAATCAGGGGAGCATGGCCCAGGGAAACTTAATTTCTGCAACTTGAGTTGAGGAGAAAGAGCAGTTTCTGTCACCTCCAACCTCCATGCTGCCCTGGCCCACCCTCCAGCCTCAGTAGTCCCCGTGGGGTGAGGGGTCATGCATCCAGGGAGATGTGACCATCTGGAGCTTGCACCCCTTGGCCCCAGTGTGTGCCCTCCCAAGGTGGATCGTGCAGACAGTATTGCACCCCTGGGTGTGAGCATAGGTGCTTCAAGGTGCATGATGGTGCAGGGTAAGAAGAGAAGGGGGAAAGCAGGGGGCCAAAGGGAGTCCAAGAACTCTAAATGTGAACGTGGCCCACCAGACTGTCACGAAGGCAGGAGGACAGAACATTTTTTGTCTAACAGTCTGTTATTCCAACTGATCACTTAAGTATTTAGATGTACGGCGTGTGGGCCTCTGTTCCAGTGGGAGGATGCACCGGTTCACTCTGCCTTATCCCCCAACAGTCGGAGCACTTCAAGACCACGTCACAGAAGGTGGCTCGGAAGTTCTGGTGGAAGAACGTGAAGATGATTGTCCTCATCTGTGTGATTGTTTTTATCATCATCCTCCTCATCGTGCTCTTTGCCACCCATGCCATCCCAACTTAGGGAGCCCCTCCCCTGCCCCCCGTCCTCCTCTTCAGGGAAGCCCTCCATAGTGGGTGCCAAGAAGGGCCCTCTCTCCCATCCTCAGCAGGAAATGCTGCTCTGTCCTCCCGCCCCTCATTCTGAGGCCCTGCTGCCATACTGTCTGCCCCAGGGAGCACCTTGGTCCCCTGGAAGGAGAGAGCCGGACCATGGCTGCATTTCATGGGCTCTCAGAGTTGGTTGGAGAGACACCCAGAAGGCCCAGCATGTGGCTGGGAAACTGATGGTGGCCAGTGGGCAATAAAGACCTTTCAGTATCCCTACACATGTGAGGTAATTTCTCCCCTTCCATTTTGCCTTTGGCCTTTCTATTTCTTTTCCCCCTGGGCACACCTTCTGGCTGAGATTCTCGTATTTGAGGTCCACGTTGTTGGAGGGGTAGAGAGTGTATATTTGGAGAAGAAAGATGGAGCCTCCTCATTCTTCTCTATTATCCACAGGTCTCAAGAACCAGAATTTTCTGAGGGTCTCAGCAAATGGAAAATTCAAAATCATTTTAGGGTGGTATGCAAGACTCCTAAGTGTCTATCTTGGGTCTTGCCACGTCCCTTTGTTACTTTTCTGCAGGAAGCGTTAGCCGAGACAGCCTGAGGGCCTCCTGCCTCTCCTGTCATTGCCATCTCTCTTCTGTGGCCCTGTTGCAGTTGAGTGAGGGGTTGGAGGAACCGGGCGCTTTTCCTTCTCTTTCGTTCTTCAAAGTTCTTTTTTTTTTTTTTTTTTTTAAGTAATCTCTACAACCCATCATGGGGCTTATCCTCACAACCCCGAGATCAAGAGTCTCATGCTCTTCCGACTGAGCCAGCTGGGTGCCCCTGGTTCTACAAAGTTCTATTTGTCTTTTGTCTGCCCCTGCCCCTTTGGGACTTAGCAGGGCCTCTGGGTCTCAGCATCTCTCCCCATGTCTCGTGGTTGGGCCCAGTCAGTGTCATAGGACAGGGCCTATGGCCCTCCTTCCCCTCCATGTACAATGGGCCTCTTTGTCTTTGGGCTTCCCTCCTCCCCACCAGGTTCCACCTCATTGCCACTCTTTCCTCTCTCTTGGTTTGGGGAAAGGGTTCTTGTCATCTCTGTCCCTATTTCTCCCCTGGGCTTTCCAGTATTAAAAAAAACAAAACAAAACAAAACAAAACAAAACAAAAAAAAACCCTGTTTTGGGGAGGGGGTGTAGAAGGAACAGGTTTGGGAGACAGAATCTGGGACTCCTACTGGCAAGTCCTGAAATCATACTCTGAAAGCCAGGGAGGAAAAAGAAAAAAAAAAAAAAAGCCCTCTGGGCTGTCTTTGTCCTCCTAGGTCCTCCTAGGTCAGACTACAGCTATCCTCTCTCCTCAGGCCACTCCTGGACTCAAGGTCCACAGAACTGGGGTGAAACCTCTTCCCTGGGACCCAGAGTGCCCAGGGTGGGGATGAGGGCTGTGCTCACAGGGGCTCAACCCAAGGAGGGAAGCCCTCAACCTCCTTCCTCAAGAGCAGCCACAGTTGTGTTTGGGGGTGGCAGGGGGTGGGGTGGAGAACTGGTGGCTGTGACTTGTTTGCAGCAGTGAGAGGAGAGGGCGAGAACAGGTAGAGTCAGGAAGGCTCTGGAGGGGTGGCCTCGCCCATCTTCCGATGGAGGAGCAGGGTCATATGAGGGCAGGACCGCAGCTGCCCTTGTGGTGAAGAGGGAAATACAGAAAAGCCAGAACTAGCACCTTCTTCATGGGGGTCCGTTTTCTTTTTTAAGCGAGGCGCCATTCACACAACATACAGCGTATACGTGTATGTACAATTGTAACACACAGCGGTGCCGTTTCAAAGTAGACAATTCAGTGGTAGGTAGTGCATTCACAATGTTGATTGTGAATAAACTTTCTTTCGTTCCAAAACTTTCTTGCGGAGTCGGTTTTTGGGTACCGGTGGCATGCATTCACCGAGGTGGCAGAGACCCCGCCTGGCTGGCGGTCCGCGTCGTCTCTAGCACAGCGCCATCGCTGTGGCACTGGGACGGTTGCTTGTTGCGGGCGATGCCTGTCTCCAGAGCCCATTTCACTGGGCCCCCCGACGTGTGGGGGTGCCGAGCGCAGAACGAGCCCCGGGCTGCTCAGGCGCAGGCGCCCGGTTCCGGGGGCTGGGGAGCCAGGCGAAGCTGGGCCGGACGCCTGCAGCTTTCGCTTTTCGTTGGCCCGGGTGCGGGCTCGGGGCAGGCGCGCCCCCCGCCCCCGCGGCCGCGGCCCCGCCCCTCCGCTTCCTCCCGGGTGTGTGGCACCGCGGCCGCTCGGCGACAGAGGAGCGGGAGCCGGCCCAGCGGCGGCAGCAGCGATGGTGAGGGCCCCGGGCGGGGCGGAGCCGACCGCGCAGGGAGGCAATGGGCGACGTGTGGGTGGGAGGCCGGAGTCTGAAGTCCGAGGTGGGAGGCGACCTCCGGGATCCGCGCCGGTCCCCCGGTGAGGTGGCCACCGCCAGGAGCAGGATGGGGGCCAGAGCCTCCACTCGGGGCGCGCGGGCTGGGGAGAGAAAGTTTGGCCGCCTTGGCGCAGTGAGCGCGACTCGGGCTCCCCCCTTCCCTGAGCCTCGCAGTTACGGAGTCAGACTCCAGGCTGAGATCCTGGTCGTGGCCACTTACCGGCTGGCTCTGTGAGCCCGGGCAAGTCACTTAACCTTCCTGAGCCTCCTTTTCCGCATCTGTGAAGTGGGGTCAGCAATACCCGCCTTGCCGGTCCTTGTGAGGTTAAGGGAGATCCAATGGCAGAGCCCTGCCTGGCACTCAGAACCTTCTCCTGAGAAGTGGTAGGTAATGTGATGACCTCTTCAGCCTTTCCTGGAGCTGTGAAGAGCCAAGTGTGGCCTGGGAGTTGGAAACCTGAGCAGATGGGCTGCCAGAGGCTCTGCCAGCCCCATGGCAGGGTGTTGGAGGGCACACTCCTTCCCCTGGGGAAAGATCAAGGGAGATGTTTACCATGAAAGTTCCACTGAAGTTACCAGAGTGTGGCACAGGCCTGACTCCTAACCTCTGCCTAGGGACACATTCTGGAGGTGAGTCATCCCCCACTCCTGCTGCAGACTCTGGCCTGTGTCCCCACTTGCCAGCTATGAGGCAAAGGTGTCAGGAACAGGTGGTGCCAGTTGCTTCCTCTGTCCCCTGGACTCCTGGGAAGATGGGCTGGGCAGGAAGCAGGCTCGGTGCTTTAAGATTCTGCCCTGGAGAAGCTGGCAGAGGTGTGATGGATGTGGCCTGGCTGGGGGTTATGATGCCTGGATGGCCTCATCTCTAGGGAACTGGAGGCAGGAAGAGGAAGTGGGGCAGGAAGGTTGCACTGAGCTCTAAGGCCACGCCAGGAAACTGAGGGAGGCTCCAAGAATGGGACAGAGCTCAGAGCCCACTTCCTAGCATGCAGGGCAAGGGATCAGCCAGGGCTAGGGGTGGGCTTCCAGTTGGCCTCTAGCACTTGGGGAGAAGAGGAAACTCCTGAAATGAAGGCTGAGGCCAGGATAATTTACTGAGGGGTACTGGAAAACTCTGGCACTCTCATAGGCTCATCTGAGGCAAATCGTGAATCAGAGCCCAGGGAAGGTACATTGACCTTTCTCCCCTACCCGTCTCCTAGCCCCATCCCTCTGTTTCTTTCAGTCTTGCCCCTTTCTCTGCCCCCAGCGCTTTCCCTTCCTTCTTCCACCCCCTTCCCTCCTTGGTCTTTCTTCCTTGTCCTCCTCTGATTCATTCAATCAACAAGTATTTCTTGGGCATTTCTTCTGTGCCAGTCATGGTGGCAGGTATAGGTGATAGAGCAGGAACAAAGAGTGATGGGAAAGATGACAACTGAATGGGTAAGAGCTTGAATTCATTCATCTTCTGGATGGTCCTCTCGTATGCACTGTCCAGTGAATGTGGGTTTTGAACCATGGGCTTCCCTCGTGTGCGCACCAGTGGAACTGGCAGCATCAGAAGGTCTGGGGAGTCTTTACTAGCCAGCTAAAGTATTTGACCTCCCTGTACTTGCATTCACTTTAGCACAGTGGTTAAGAATGTGATTCTTGGAGTTTACAGTGTATTGGTTCAACTCCCAGATCGTCTAGTTACTGCCTCTGTGACCTTGGACAGATGGTTTAACCCCTCTGAGCCTCAGTTTCTTATAAAACTGGGAGAACAGCATGCCTTCAGTGGGTTGTGAGGATTAAATAAGATACGGAGGACAAACAGCAGGCAGTGCTTAGCTCTGTGTCCATTGAATGGTGGCCGTTATTACTGTCAGGATGTACAGCCTTCTCAGCAGCCTGTAGTGCTTGATGGAAATACTCGATGCAGGTAATCAAAGGCCCCTGTAAAGTTAGAGACAATTAAGCACACAGGTTTGCAATAAGGAAGAACTTGCTTGGCTGTGTATTTTGTAAAAATATCTAAGAGGTTTTAATGATCACACATATTGTGTAGTTCTTGAGATCTGACTGCTAAGAAAAAAACATCAGTGAGGGAAGATTGGGCTCCATTAATGACAATAGCTCTTGTTTATTGAGCACTTAGTATGCGACAGGTATTGTGACAAGCACTTTGTTTGTAACATGTCACGGGCCCTAGCTAACATTATGGTAGATATTATTCTTGTCACCACTTTACGGACGAGGCAGTGGAGGATCAGAAAGGTCATGTAGTGGACGAGTGGCAGAGGCAAGATTTGAAGGAACCCAGGGCTGCAATGCTGAGCCCTCGTTCTTAACTCTCAGCTCAGGTAAGTGCTGAGTAGGAAGGAGCTGATACACCCCTTTGCTGCCCCAGTCCTCTGACTAGAACAACGGTGACAGCTGGAATAGGGGTTCTTGGGCACTAGCCAAGAAAGAAAGGAGACGGGAGAGTTACAACAGGGAGGTTTGGGAAAGCTTGGTTTTCAGAGGCACCTAGGGTATTTGGCCTGGAGAAACCGGAGATGTTTGAGGGTTGAAGGCAGGATATTCTGTACAGAGGGCTAACGGTCTATCAAGAACATTTCCTGTGTCACTGCCACCCCCTGTCTACCAACCATGCTGATGCTCCCCCTCCACTGCACAGCCTCAGCCCTGCAGACCCCAAGCAGGGCTGGCAAGTGCCCCTCCCACCCATCCTTCCTCTCTATGCTCTTTGCTCCCCACTACCTGGCAACCCCACACCCCTGCTGGTGGCATTTGTCCGCCTCTTCTGGCTGTTCTCTCTGCCTGGGGGTTTTCTCACTGCCGTCTACCACCAATAGAGAAATTATTCTGAAGCCCCTCTCCAGTGTCCCCCACTTGGCTCAGAAGTCTACACTAGGTCGTGTTCTGTTCCTCCAAGTGACTGTCCCCTTCTTGACTTTTACCGCGTGTGTTCTCTGGCCCCACCCTGCCCCCCTCCGCCCTTACCCTCTGCCTGGTGTGTCTTTGCCTGAGTGCCCCAACTCCACCCCATCCTGTAAGGGCTCATCCACCCGGTCTGTCTCAGTTCACAGGAATCCACTCTCTGGGTATGAGATCACTGGGTATGTGTATCTCACAGCACAGCCCTTCACTCTTCTCTCATGATGTCCTATATGTCTCTTTCCCTCAGTCTATAGTGGGCTTCTTAAGAACAGGCACAATTCATTCAGAAATTTTTTTCCGCGTGTCCACTGTGTGCCAGGCACTATGTTGAGTTCACTGTGGCAGGTGTAGTGTGGCCCTGCCCTCTGGTCCCTTACCTCCTTCCACATTCTGTGGTTATTTCTCACTGTGCCAGTAGGGACCTATGCATACAGTGTCCTTTTTCTGCTAGTTGAGAGAGGACCCAGGAGGGGTCCCAAGGAGGGACTTGAGCCCGGGGCCTCTGTGTTCCCTGGAGCGAATGTGTTCTTTTAGGCCTGGTCCCACCTTGGCTCCGGACAGGCCTGGCTTCGCAGTGGGGGGAGGAGGCTGCAGATTGCAGCAGGAAGCACAGCCAACTCTCTTGGGGAATGTGACCCAATGTCACCCCACGTTGGAGAATAAGAGAATAATAGCTGGAGTTTTCAGAGTAGAAACACAGTCATATTCAGCATCCCACCAACCTCTAGCAGTGATTGTCATTTCGGATCTTTGTCCATTCTCAAGTTTTTGCCTTGGGCTGTTATGAATGGGGGGATGACTTGTGCCATGTGAATGCGAACTATGTGAGCTTGTTGACTAACGTGGTAGTAATAAGAGTGGTGATGATTACTGGGGAAAAGTTAGCAATGGGGGCAGCTTCCCTGCTCCTGCATTATTGCTTTGTTCCCCAGTTTCTGCTCCCCCAGCCTGTGAGTGCACCCCTCTGTCATAGTTTGCCTGCCCCCTCTCCAAGCAGGTTGCTTTTCTAAGCTCATGGGTAAATATTGACCTACTTGGGTTTCAGATGCCTGCCCCACGAAACTCCTGCTGGGCTAGATAAACACACTGGGAAAACATCTCTTGAGACTAAGAGCTGCTCTTGGATAGGCTACAATGCGATGACCCGCTCAATGAGTCCTTGCAATGGTCAGCACTGTGCTGGCCCCCCCAGGCCACCAGGATGGGGGGCAGACAGAGGTAGCCCTTCCCCCTGGGGCCTGTGGTCTAGCTGGGAAGATAGGACTCATGTACTGGGAATGCTTGGAAGTTGTGTGCAAGACAGCTGCAAGGATCCTGAATGCGGATTCTTGCCTGAGTAGGAGTAGCTCTCCGTGAACACCGGATCCCTCCCCTTTCTCTGGTTTTAAGTGGAATTCAGTCAAGTGCCAAAATGTCTGCTGCAGACAATGGGCAATATGGTCTGGCAGGAAAGGGAGCTTGGCTAGTGCTCTGTGGGGAGGAGATGAGAACAGGGACGGGCTGTGGGGGAACTAGGCTGGGAGAAGGGAGTTGCTGTGGTTTGTTAATCTGCTGGTATTCATCTCCCTGACATGTCCCTGGACCTGCTCCTGGACTTCCAGCTTTTACTGGGGCCTCCTGCCCTAGATCTCACTCAGTTGCGTGTGTCCAAAGCCCAGTCCCTTTCTTGCTTGTGATGCATGCTCTCTTCCTCTCTCCTGTTCTCTCAGCCCCCCACCACCTCCCCACTTGAACCCTGCATCTGCCTTCCTCTGAAATTACCTGGGTTCTTCTGTCTGGTGTGGTTGCTGCCCAAGCTGAGAAGTCTAAGAGTAGGTCTCATCTCTGTGAGTTGGACCCTAGTGAAGACAGTGGGTGGCTGGAAGGCTAAGGCCAAAGTCCAGGGAGGCTGAGGTTCCCAGGCAGACAGGGAATCAGTTTTGAGCACTGATACGGGAGCAGGGTCATCCCAGGAGGCAGAAGTGGCCTGACCAGTCAGAGGGAGGGTTGATCTTCCCAGTTTGTTTCTCTGTGTGTGTCTGTGGGGTTAGGCAGAACCTATGATGTGTGGTGGTCTGAAGTGACCTTCCTAGCCCTGTGGGGGTAGATCTCCTCCCCGTCTGGCTTCTAGCCATGTAGCTTGGTGCCCTCTTCTTTGGTGCTTCCTTAGGCCAGTGGGAAGCCACAGGGCAGGTACACATTGGGGAGAGGCCATCCTAGAGCAGGTGAGCAAAGTACCTGCTTTGTGGGAGGGTGAGATTCTGGGAGGTTTCCATCCTGAGGCATCTTAGAGGATGCTGAGATGCTGAAAGCCAAGGCTGACCTAGGACCTGCCTTGATGGGCAAGGAGAAGAAGCTGTGAGAGCAGAGGCAAGCCACACACACTCAGAAGACTGGTCCTTCCCTCTGTACATATCATACCCTTGCATGTAAGATGCTGTTACCCTATCCATACATCATCCCCACCCCACACACAGTGGGGGCAAGGAGGCCGCTAGGTCTCAGGATCAGGTGGGGGCCTCCTGCAGTTCTGACCTTGGGCTTGGCGCCCAGGCAGGGAAAGAGTTGGAACGGTGCCAGCGGCAGGCGGACGAGGTGACGGAAATCATGCTCAACAACTTCGACAAGGTCCTGGAGCGCGATGGAAAACTGGCAGAGCTGGAGCAGCGTTCTGACCAACTCCTGGACATGGTGTGAGGCCTGGGGAAGCAGGGATGGGGGAGGGAGAGGCCAGAAGGGGTCCTCAGAGAGAAAGTTCTCAGGCCGTGCTCAGGGTCTCCTTGGTGGGGTCTGAGGCTTGCCTGTGGGGCAGTGTGAGGCCTGTGAGTTTGTTGAGGCACCTTTAGCCTAGATATGCTCCAGGTAGGCCTCATGAAGTAAGAAGTCCTTTGTATGGAGCTGTGGAGCTTTGTAAAGGGCTGGTATTATTAACTGGGGGTGAGTCTGTAGGGCTGTGAGTCAAGGGCTACACCAGTGTCTGAGACCAAGAGTCAGGCTGGGAGGATTCCAGGGCAGGCTATGTGGAGAAGGGGAGCAGACAGGCTGGGAAGATGCAGAAGGAGACTAGGCCCTTCCGGGGAGGTGAGGTTGGGAGACCGTGGCCCTGGATCTCTAGGGGAACCACTAACTCCCACCCTGTGTCTGGCGATGTCCACAGAGCTCAGCCTTCAGCAAGACAACCAAGACCCTGGCCCAGAAGAAGAGCTGGGAGAACATCCGATGCCGGATCTACTTGGGGCTGGTGGTGGGTGGCGGCCTGCTCGTCATCCTGATTGTGCTCCTGGCCATGTTTCTCCCACAGAGCAGTGAGGACAGCAGTGCCCCACAGGCCCAGGATGCAGGCGCTGCCTCAGGGCCTGGGGACTGACCCAGCTGGGCCTGAGGAGAGGCCGATGGCCATACTGGCTGGTTCTGGTCTCCAGAGAACCCTGGTGTTTGCTCCCACCTGAGCCACCCAACTGAGTGCTGAAGAGCATCCCTGATGTGTGCACCTTTGCATCTCCTATCACGCCACAGACTGGCCCTTGAGGGCAGCCTGCTGCACTGGCCATGCCAGGCCAGCCCCACCTGGAGCTCAGTAAAAGCTGCTGTTTGGTTAAAAGCTGCTGTTTGGCTAAAAGCTGGAGTGTCTGTGTGTGTGTGTATGTCTGAAGCTCTCCAGGTTGCCTATACTCCTGGGGTTGCTTAGAAAGTCTACCGTCCAAGGGACTTTATCCCTGGGAGATGGCCCCTCTCCTTTCCCTTCCATACTTGATTCAGCCCTACCCAGACAGATCCTTCTGGAGTACAGGTGGAAAGACAGAGTGGTTCTCAAACCTGACCCTTCAACCAGCACCCTCTGAGCCTGTTTCCCTAGGAATGAAATCTATTATTTTTCTGATGTCTTGAGGATACTCAGTATAGGACTCCAGGAGAAGAAAGTACTTCAAAGATGTTTATATGACAAGGCTCTCACCTTTGGATAGGCTTTTCCCTCTCTGAACCCCACCCCCCTCCCCAGCTCAATTTCTCTATGTTCTTCCTCAAGCTTGACACCTGATTACAGATGAGGCAGACAGCAGTGAAAAAGGGAAGGGCTTCAAAGGTGCAGCAGTGCGCAGTCACAAGGGACGGCCTAGGGTTTGCCCTGTAGGAAAGGATTTGGCCTTTTCAGAGCTCCATGGCCACACAGGGCCAAGCAGGCAGTGCCTTCAGGGTCACAGGAAAGATGATGAAAGAGTAAAGGCCATGGAAGAAGGAAAGAAGGTCCTACCAAGACTGAGGAAGCTGGGCAATCTCTGCCTGGCTACTTGACTGCCTGTCAAACTCAAGTGTGGGTGGAAGGAAAATTCAGGGTCAAGTATGTAACAGAAGCAGTTCCTTGTTAGGCAGAGTGAGGACTACTGACAGAGAAATAAGAACAAACCTGAGAGTTGTGTGGAGCTTTACCCATCACAGGGCTTGTTACTTCTACTGGGCTCATTACCATCTTCTTTTCCTGAGAAAGATGGAGAAAAACACTTGGCCCTGCAGTTGGTCAGCAAAACCACTTAGAGGTCACGTTAATTTGGGCAAGCCACTTCCGGGACTTGGGTTTTACATATGTAAAAAGGGACATACTTAACTCCCAGAACAATCATGAGGATTGTTTATACTGAGTGTAAAACATCCATCAATGTAATGGTTCTGGATGCCAAATAAATGGTAGCTATCATCCATATCATTTAGTGCAGTAGTCCTCAGCCTAGCCTCACAGTAGGAATCACCTGTAGAGGGGCGGCTGGCTGGCTCAGTCAGTAGAGCATGCGACTCTTGATCTCATGGTTGTGTGAGTTCAAGCCCCATGATGGTGTGCAGCCTACTTCAAACAAACAAACAAACAAACAAACAAACAAATTAATAAATAAATAGAATCCCCTGTAGAACTTCTAAAAACACCACCCCTAGGCCTCAATCAGTACCAGAGCTAAGATTTAAACCCAAGTTTGTGGGATGCCTGGGCACACACGTTAGCCACTGCCCTACACAGCCGCCTTATGGGGCCTAGATCTGTTAAGTCAGAATCTTTGAGGGTATCTGTCGCAGGGTTATTTTCTCTTAAAGCTGCAACCCCTCATTCTCCCTCCAGGATATTCATGGGTAGCCAGGGATGCAAACCACCTTTTGAATCCAAGCCAAAGATTTTACAGAAGCTAGGGGAGAAGTTGAACAACGGGCTGAAGGTCACACACATAGTCCCATGAGCCGGTAAAGTCCCAGATTTCCCGGCAGGGATCTTTCCTCTTTCGGTAGGGAAGTTTTGCTTTGCTCTTTACTGGGCCTAATAGAGAAGAAATGAACAGGAAATTTTTGTTTTGTGGGTATGGGAGGAATCAAGCGCCAACTCCTGAACCAACTAGAGTGCAGGAGGTGCAGAAGTACCTGGCGGGGCCGGACAGAGCAGCGGGAAACGCGGTGATTCCAGGTTCGCAGTACCCTCAGCCCCTAGGCCAGCGCCTCCCTTTCTCGGAGGGCCTTTGACACCTGTGCGTCCTAACCCCGCTGAACCGCAGCGCGGACTCAGGACCCCCTACAGCCTCGACACTTCCCTTTTCACCGCTCTGTGGACGCGAATTACGCGACACTCCCACGTACCTACCCCAGGTTAGGAGTCCAGAACAGACGTTTCCGGACCAGCCCCAGATCCTGCCATTGGCTTTAGCCTTTGGTCACCTGACTTACTCGAGCCAACGAGAGGCGGCAGAATTAATACTTCCGCTTTCAGTGCGGCAAACGAGCCTCTGTTCCCGCCTTTCGGGTGCTCTGATTGGTCTTCCTCTCTCAGCTCGGCAATTTATTGGCCAGAGCCACGGGGCCGCAGTCCAGCGGGGTTCGAGGGCTGTGTGAGACAGCACCGCTGCGATGGCGTCCTATTTCGATGAACATGACTGCGAGCCGTTGGATTCCGAGCAGCAGGCCCGAACCAATATGCTGCTGGAGCTCGCAAGGTGGGTACGCGATGCTGGGAGGTGGGGGCGCAGGCAGCAGGTTTCTGGGCTGGGGCTGGCTGGAGAAGGCTGATTATATAGGGCCTCCATTCTGAGGAGGAAGGATGAGTAATCTGGAGAGTTAGTCCAGAGACGAGATTCGAGGGAGATCAATAATTTGGATCATCCATAGACGGGCCGGGCAAAGAGATTGTGGGAAAGACTGTAACTGGAGAGTAGGGGGAGTAGGGAGCGGGAAGGCAGCCGGTTGTAGCAGGTGAGGGAGAATATGGGTGATGGGGGTAAGGGAAGGGCCGTGTGGGTGTGAGTAGGTACATTTGTTAGGAACACCAAGCACGGCAGCCAGCGCTGCCACTGGGAATCTGGCTTTACCAGGTCATTCCTACATAGCCTGAGTAACTTCTAAGCCTGTTGCCTCATGTGTAAAATGGGACTAAACTGCTTGCATGCTTGGGGTTGTCTTATAGCAGCTGTAAACCACTTCCCACTGTGCTTTTTATCTAGTGAGTACTTCTGCAGGGTACTAGCTGCAGGGCATTTATTTGCTATAATGCCTAGTAGGCTGTTGGGGCAAAGAGAAAGTATGGTTTTCTGTGGTTCTGACCATGCGCCGTTCTTCCCAGGTCACTTTTCAATAGGATGGACTTTGAAGACTTGGGGTTGGTAGTAGATTGGGAACATCACCTGCCTCCACCTGCTGCCAAAGCTGTGGTTGAGAACCTTCCTAGGAGAGTCATCAGGGGCTCTCAGGCCGGTGAGAACACTAATTCTTTCCACTGTTTGGGGCAGGTTTGTCAGACCCACTCCCTCCCAAGCTAGACTGGTCTGGCCCTTCAGTTTTCCAGGTCAGGTTGGGGCAAGAATGTCCTTGAAGAGTGGGAGCTGGGAGGTAGGGCCTGTAGCGGCTCTCCTGATCAGCACTCCCTCCTAAAGAGCTCAAGTGCCCCGTGTGTCTTTTGGAATTGGAGGAGGAGGAGACTGCCATTGAGATGCCTTGCCATCACCTCTTCCATTCCAGCTGCATTCTGCCCTGGCTAAGCAAGGTACTACTTCCTTTTTCTCAGCCCTCACTTGCCCTGGGCCCAGTTCTCAAGCCTCTCAAGTTCTGTTTATGAACTGTTAGGGGATCAGAAAAGGGAGAGGGGTAGGGGTGGGTATTGGGAGCAGGGGACGAATATTAACTTATGAATACCAGACTTGGGCTGGAACACCGTCCTCCTTTCCTCAGACAAATTCCTGCCCCTTGTGCCGCCATGAGCTGCCCACTGATGATGACACTTACGAGGAACATAGACGAGATAAGGTAGGGGCTGGTGGTAAGTGGAGAGGGTGGTAATGGGGCCCCCCAGTCGCTGTCCTTTTGTTCTCATTTCCTACCTTAGCAGGTCTGGGTAGGCCTCAGGGTCCTTGGCTCTTGTCGTCTTCCTGGTGACTCTGGTGAGGGGCAAGAGCCTTGGCAATGCACATGCTAGGAGCCTGAAAACAGTGATAGCTCCATGATAGCTGTCCCATTGCTCCACCCACAGGCCTTCACATATGGCTCATGCCCATTGTGCTGTCTTTCCTTCAGGCTCGCAAGCAGCAGCAAAAGCACCGACTTGAGAACCTCCACGGAGCCATGTACACATGAGGTGCCTGGGGCTGAGTACCAGTCCTCCACATCTTTCTCTTGCACCTCAAACCCTCATTAAAATTTTCTTTACCCACCCTGCACTGCATTGCTCACAAGCCTGGGCAGGGGTTCCGTACCCTCCATGAGGTCCCTACTGCTACTGGGGAAGGTGGTCCTGAACCACAGAAAGCACCAGGCTGTGTGTCCCTTCCTGTTAAGTGTACACACTGCTCAGTCTGGCCTGAGAGAAGTGGAGCCCAGGTCAAAAACCTGGCTACTAGATCAGCCAGGGCTTGGGCCTGTGCATTCATTGTTGGAAAGCAAAATGTGTCAGGGTCTGGCATCCAATAGTTACTTACAGATGGTAAAGAAAAAAAAGAGAGCCTACATCTCTCTCCCCTGCAATTTTTAGTAAATCTTGGAATCCCACAGGCTTTCTTTAGCTTCATTGTGAAAACTGCTCCTATCAGTTTGAAGTTGCTCCGTGGATTCCCTCCGCCCCCACCTCTGCCCCACCCCAGTATTACCTACTGAGGAAGCAAACTTCAAACCACACTCTTGAGTAGAAGAAGGATCAGGTCAGTTCTTTAGACTGTTTAAAGTCCTAGAAAGGGTTTCAGGCCCTTGAGGGGTATTTGGATAGCACCTGGCAGTCTTTATTCTTGGCAGCCCTGTTCTCAAAGAGCAGTGGCCACTCAGGACTCTCTCTGGGGGCAGGGGATTTTGCCCATCCTTTGCCTAGGGAAAGCCATCCTGGGTTAGTCTCTCTCTTGACTCTTCAGAACAGACTACAAACATGCAAATTAGAATTCTTTTAATAGATATATATATATATATATAGATATATATATATATATATGTATATATATATAAAAGTACTAAAATACCCACATGGTTCTGCTGTGTTATTTGCCCGAAAGAAAGAAAAGGGCAGAGTGAAGAATCCCAGTGCAGCTCAGTGGGCCCCAAAGTGGGCCTTCCCACAGTCTAAGGAGTGCCTATCCCTCCACCCCAAATTCTATCCTTCTTGCTGTTCCCAGCCCCCAATTCCTGCAGCAGGAAACCCCAGTGGTTTGGCTTCGGCACTGGGGAGTAGAAGGCACCTGAAGGGCTGGCTGGGTGAAATAAGAATATGTGACCTTTGAACATAAAAACAACAGTGCAGAGTAAGGGAGTAGGTTGTGTGCAGCCCAGGCACCTGCCGGGCCTGTTCCTCCATGGCACGGGTGGGTGTGGGATGGCCACTGCTCCAGCAGCAAGGAAGCCTATATCCCGACAACACTTTCTCAAAACCATTTTTGGTACAAAATAAATGCAAAGTTATGAGGTGGGGAGCTGGTGAGGTTGGCCCGGCCACCCTCCCCAGACCTCAGATCATGGCGATGCTTTCGGGGGCACAGGTGAGGTGAGTGGAGGTGCGACTGCTCCCAGAGGACTTGGCGGCCCGGCCAGGGGCAGGCTGCAGCGCAGCCACCAGCGTCTCTGATGACACTGCTCCGAATTCATAGCTGAAAGTGCCGTAGAAAATGAGGATGTCAATGACAAACACCCACTCACACAGGGCTGCCCCATGCTGCAGCTGAGAGCTCTCGTGCATAAAGAAGACCGCACCTGGAATGGGGCTAAGGAAATGTTCAGTAGGATGTGTGGAAGCCTGTTGACACTCCTACCTTCCTAGATAGATAACTAGGCTGGGGCCAAGAGCCAGGTCTCACCTCCTGGGAGGGTAAGTAGGAAACCACACTGGGCAGTATTTTCTGGATATATGTGTACCAAGCTCTCCCCCAACCCCCCCATGGCCACCCCCCCCCCCCACCCCGGGTCTTGGGTGGGGAAAGGCTGAGCTAGAGGATTAGTTCCTGGCTGCCCTGTCCTGGAAGGATACTGAGGATCAGGGTGACAAAGGCGATGGCTGCCAGCACAATCCGCACGTAGGCCATAGCCAGGTCCTGGGGGGCGGTGGCCCCGTGGTAGCAGAGGGCACAGTGCAGGCAGACAAAGAGCAGCCCGGCGGAGAAGGCCACACCAGTTCCGATGTAGTGCAGAGACTTAGCATGATCCACCTGGTCCGGACAGAGCACCCATCTGTGAAGCAGCCCTACCTCCTCCACCCCCATCCCCTTTCCCTCTCAGACCCCCCTATCCCCACCCTCAGCCTTGTAGGGCTGTCTCTGTAGCTTGGGGCAACCTTCAGGGGACTGAGGGCACCCGTTCGTGAAAGTTCAAGAGGCAGGCAGGCGGGCACACCTGGAAGTTGCCGACCACCACAAGGCCCGCAGCGTTGGTGCAGCCTGTGATGAGTGTTGTGGTGTTGACCCAGGAATGACGACTCTGCTCCAGGAGCTGCCCGTAGCGCAGCAGGCAGATCAGAGCCACTGGGGGAAGACAGCACAGGTGGGGCCAGCACTGGTGCTCTCCTCCCACCCCAGCCTGGCCCAGCCAGCCCACCAACTGCCCCGGCCTCTGCCCCTGCCCCCCACTCTGGTCTGAGGGCCAAAAGGGAATAGAAGGGCAGGTGGTGAACTGGGTGTCCTCAGCCTCCAGCCAGCAGGGTGGCTGTGTGAGACACTTTGGCCCTTGTTCAAGAACAGGAGAGACATGACTCCTCTTGCCTTAGCCCTTGGTGGGGGTGGGCCGCACTAGGCAAGGGCTTCCTGGGCCCTTCTGGGAGGGGGGTGGGGGAGTGGGTTGGATTGGGCTGGGCTGGCTAGGGGGGGCTGAGGGCACAACTCACCCATGAAAGCACCCATGTTGCCAATGAGGCTGAAGAGGCAGCTCTCTGGGGGATATGTGCCACACTTGCTGAGGGGGGGGGGGGCAAGGACAGAGTGAGAGAGGAGCAGGAGCACTAGCACCCCCATTCTGGCCCATCTGTCTCTTGCTTTAACCGTGCCTGTTCCTTAGCAGCAAGCCACTGATTTAGGAGAAGGGCCAGTTGTGTTCTATAAACAACTGGCTGCAGGCTGGGCCCTCCCCCAAAGCAGAGCACATGTGTGTGATGGGTAAGGGAGTGCCCAGGATTGCTGGGCAGAGCCCAAGACTCCTTGGACTCCCTGAGACTGTCAAGGTCTGCGGCCAGTCTGGCTTTCCTTGGGCCAGAACTGGGCTGGGCAATCAGAGGGCTTCAGCTTAAATCCAGGTGCCTCCACTTACTAGCTGTGTGACCTGGACGGATGACATAACAGTCTGTTTCCTTGCCTATAAAACAGTGAGAACGATAGCTGCCTCAATGTCAGGAGGATTAAACAGTGTTCTGCGCGTAAAGCATTCAGCACAGGGCCTGGCACACAGTGATTGGCAAGTAGTATTGTTATTAAGTGCTTTTAATATACTTACTATTTCTGAGACCCAGGGATAGGGGTTTGAGGGGCTGGGGTCTCCCTTACCTGCCCAGAGTCCAGGCCTTACCTGATGAGGGGGACATCATCCAGGGTGCAGCAAGTCTTGGGGCCCCCTTGTTCAGCGGGGTCAGGAGAGCAGGACTCGTTGTAGGACCTGGCAGGCAGGACAGAGAGTAGACTGGGGGAAAGAGGTTCTCCCAGCCTGTACCCTCCGGCTTCTCAGAGACTACCCTCCCAGTATTCTCTTGGCAGGGGCAGGAGAGCCCACCTCCCTGAACTGGCCTGAGACAGATGCCAAAGGGGTGAAGGGATGGTGGGAAATAGGTGGATGGGCTTGAAGTCATGCCTGGGGAGGGGCAGGCATTGCCAGTGTCAGCTAAGAGCAGTGAGGGCCAGGGTCTCCAACTGGCTTGCTCACAACAGCCCCGACCCAAGAGGGAGCAGAGATGAAGGGAGCTTTAGAGGGAGGCTGTCTGCAGAGTGCGCCATACCAGTTCTCCACAGGGCATGCGTGGCGGTTCATCACGGCCATGGCATACCTGCGGGAGCAGAACTGTCACCTCACACCCGTGACCCTCCCAGCCCAGCTTTCCCCCCTACTGACTCTTCTCTCTTGATTCTGGCCCCATTCAGCCTCATTGTCCTTGTTGGGGACTCAAGTTGGGGTGGCCTGAGAACTGACACCACATCAGAATAGCATGGCCTCAAACTAGAGGACCTCGGGGTGTCCCTGGCTAGAAGTATGTCAGGGTCGTCATACTGGACAGCGGCGGTGCCAGCTCGCCCGAAGTAGCTCTGTGCCCAGGCACCAGGCCAGGCTTTGGAGACAGCTAGAGTGATCCTGGGTACCACCCCAGAGCCTGCACAGGACAAGGGGCTCTGTGTGTGCCATGAAGCTCCTGTTGGGTCCTGGCTGGGCCCTATCCTCCTCAGCATGGGCCCATTCTGTCCCCCGTTGTCTTCCCCCTTCCCTCTATTTACTCACACAGTCCATAGGCCAGTGATAGAGAATGCTGACAAGCTGACAGGAAGGAGGATCCAGGCGGTCATGAGGGAGGGGAGCCAGGGTGGTGGTGGTGTGGGGGGAAGGGCAAGAGGTAGGTGGGAAAGAGGGGGCCGGCCCAGCTACCTTAGGGTACTTCGCCAAAACCATCAGCGGCCCAGGCCTGGTGGAGAGAGACAGGTCAAAGTCCAGGGTCCAGTGACTGGCCAAGGCCGGTGGTGGGCAGAAGGTGGTCCACACCTGATTCACAGCTTCTGCTGGGGCTCTGAGGGCCTACATTTTGGGCTGAGCCCACGCCAACACGTGGACACCTTCTGGCATCCCCCGGGGGCCTCCGCGTTCCACCCGAAAGCCACCGGTGGGCCCAGGCACTCAGGCGGGGCCGTAACATCTGGGGAGGGAGTCGCGCTCCCTCGCCTGCGGGACCGGGCTGGGGGAAGGGTGCGGTTAGGGCAGTCGAGGGGGCCGCGCCGAGGAGAGCCTGAGAGCGGGTGCCGGTCCCGGCGGAGCGGCAGCCACGCGCAGGCAACCACCTGACCGCCGGCGCCCCGGGGGAGAGGTGGGTTCGCGCAGGAAGCGCGGCTCGGCCCCCGCCCGCGTGGGCGCACGGAAAGCGCCCCGGGAGCCGGGGACTCGAGCCTCCCCAGGGGCCCAGTACGCACCTCCCTGGAGCGCCCCGCCGCCTCCGCTCCCTGCTCGGCCACGCTTGGTATGGTCTCTGGCTGCGGCCCTCGGAGCAGCCCTGGAAGGTTTAAAGGGCCGAGCGGCCCCGCCCCTGTCGCCCGGGCAGCGCCGCGCCGCCCGCCGGGACGTGGAGTCCGCGCCGCCCCGCGCCCGGCCGGAGACTACAACTCCCGAGCCCCCGCGCCCGCGCTGCGGTGCAAGCGTGGATGGCGCCCCGACTTCGGGGGACCTGAGCGCCGAGGGCTGAGCCGTGGGACTCGGGTGGAGGCTCTGACTCCGAGATGCCGATAGTCCCGCGTACCCTGTTCCTGCGGTGGAAGCTTCGGGAGGCGGGAAGCTCCGGGGCTGCATCGCTGTGATTGCCATCGCGTACAAGGCTGGTGGAAGCCTCCCTTCGCCGCTGGGCACATTTTTGCAGCCTGGATTGTCCGGCAGTGAGACTTTCGGGAGCCTCCCTCAATGTGGCCGGGCCTGCCTCTCTGTTCTGGGCGAGGTGGGTCCGCGGAGAAGCGAGCACAAAACCTTGGCTGTTAAGTTTCAAGCGCCTTGGATTTGGCTTATGCTTCCCCTCCGCCCAGCAAACCCTGGAGGAGGGCTACTTTCATCAGATACTTTTTTTTTTTTTAATGTTTATTTTTGAGAGAGACAAAGTAGGAGTGTGGGAAGGGCAGAGACAGAGAGGGAGACACAGAATCCGAAACAGGCTGCAGGCTCCGAGCTGTCAGCACAGAGCCTGATGCGGGGCTCGAACTTGGGACCGCTGAGATCATGACCTGAGCTGAAGTTGGACGCCCAACCGACTGGCCCATCCAGGCGCCCCCAGATACTTTTTATTTTCAAGGTACAAGTACACAAAGTACTGTCAGTGTCATGTTTCCCGACTGATGAGCGCTTACTCGAAACAAGGCCACAGAGATCAGTGGATATCTATGGTCACACATGGCCAGGTGTTGGTAAGAGAGGCAGGCTGGAGACCCAGAGCAATCTGGGAAGAGGAAACAGGATAGCGTGGGAATAAATTACCATTGGCTTCACCAAAATGTACAGGCCAAGGGTGCCTTCCTGGACATTCTTTTCATGATAAAAAAAAAAAGAGTGGGAATACTTCTTTTTCACATACCCAAAGGGAACAGAGGCCCAGGCTGCCAGGAATAGGGGAAGCTTAGGTGTGGCAGCACTGGTGAGTTGAAGGTAATGTGCAGAAACAGGGGCCCTGTACTGTGGGGAAAATGGAGATATACTGGGAAAGGGCTTGAAGGAGCAACCTTTTTTTTGACCCAGTGGAAGGTAAAAATAGAAACAGGAAATCTGTGGGAGAGCCCTTTTCTGAATTGCAGCAGGACAAGTAGTTAAAGCAGGGCCAATAAGTATGGCTGTGCAGAGAAATCACTGTACAATGAAATCACTGGCTGAATGGACTAGTGGGGTATAAAATACAGTCCACTTTCTGGCCGCCATGTTCTGTGCCCCAGAATACAGAGGTGCCTCTTGCTAATTCACAGAGAAGCACCACCTTCCTGCCCAGGTGTGTTCCCATTGGAGCAGACACCTTCTTTTCACCTGCCCAACGGTACTGTGAAACCTCAGCATTTCCTACCTCATTGGAAGTTTTGCAAGTCTTAGTCAACACTTAACTACACTCAGTTGAGCTGGGTTTGAGTTGCTGTCCAACCGTTATCATGGGAAGACCTGAGAAGCTACTTAGGTCCTAAACTGGCTGTTCTAATGTAAAGTAGAGGTAAGACAAGCACTCTAGAACTGTGACCGAGACAGATTTTGGCTTAATATGACAATCTCAGTAATCCCTAAAGTAGAATTACCCCAAGACAGGACTCCCTATGACAGAAGGGCTCTTTGTGTGTAGTCGGTAGGGAGGAGTCACTTATCAGAAAACAAGTGGGACCAGACATCTTTAATAGTCCCTTCTAGCTTTAATGCTACGTGAGTCTAGTTGTTATGCTCCAACCAGGACAGTTCTTAAAATAGTCAAGGCAAAGCAAGAGATGAGATTTCAAGTGCTGATTTGGTGGTGCTGAATGACTTTAGGGCAGGCATTTAATCTGTACTTCTCTTATGTACACAAGTGATTTCAAAACTCTTGGCAAAAACAGTGCTGTAAAAATAGTTAAGTTTATTGCTCAAAAAGAATACTGTTTTTGAAAAGTACCTTTCTTCCAGGATTTTCAAATAATTTGCACACTTCACTTCATTAATCCATCCACACAGCAGAAACATTGGAAATGAGGAAACAGAAGAACAGATGGCTTGTTACACATTTACCACCACAACTCAACCAGTTGAGCAACCAACCTCTCATCTGGTGGCACTGAGAAGGCAAAGGAGCCATTTACTCAGGTTTTTACTTCTAGCGTCACTCTAACTACTGGAGAAATTTGGGGTACGTGCCTATGGCGTCTTGGCCATCTGATTTCTCAGGGACAGGGCAGGAATTCAATGAGGGGGCTTAAAATGTTTCAAATAATTGTCAACATTCCATGCTGATTCTCCCAGAAGGCTCAGAGGTAGGAAGAGAATTGTCCTCCTTCCTCTTCCTATATGCAAGGGCCTCAGTTACACTTGGGAACCGGCTGGGGATCCACTACTCTACTATCCACGCATCCTGGCAAATGCACAGCAGGCTGGATAGTCACTACCCCAAACGGTTTCTTCCAGCCCCACAGGCTGATCTCTAGTTGGCAGTGTCTTGCAGAGTGGATCATGAAGGTGGAATGCCCCTTTCAGAGTTTCATCCACAGGGAGAAGTGTTTGTTATTGCCCACATTGGTCCTACCGGCTGGCCAAGCTCCACAGACTCCTACACTCAGTACAAAAAGCTTTACGTTCTTCTTTTCCATTCTTGCATTACATTCTTCAAAGACTTCTATGCTTGCCAACTGGCTAGAACTCAAACTCTAGTGTTTACTCTTATACAGCTGAAAGCCCCTAAAAACTCCAGATTCCTTCTATTTATAATATCAGCCATCATGGCCCAGGAAACACAAACCCTTAAACTCCAAGGCCTACCCTCGGTAAGAACATTCATGGGTGTGAGATAGGTCTATGAGGCTCCCAGACTTTTTTTTAGACAGCCAAAAAAGTACCTAGTCAAATTAGGATTGATTCTGAAGCAGCCTGCCAGAAAGCTCCAGTTAGTCCGACATGGTTGCCACTGTACCAAATAGCCATGGCAGACCTCTCTGTGACATCTCTAGAGCCCATGGGAAATGCTCTGGAACATGCTCCTTGATGGCGAAGCACTGATTTTTGAAAACTGCCGGAAGATGTCTGGAGGCAAGTCTGGTGAATACACTAGATGGTGCCAGTACCATCATGGAGCCCCGCTGAGGGGTGGCAACAAGCAAAGAGCCTGAGCTAGAAGGCTGTCAGCTGGTAGAAGGCCATCACCAGAGAAGCATTTCAGGCACATCTGGAGCAGTGGCAGCAGCATCACCAACAGGCCTCCCCTAGAGGACAACCTCTCATTTCAGTACCAGACTTAGTGGTTTCTAGTCCTGCTGCTTAAATTAGCTAAGAGTTAGGATGCTTTCTTGGGTGGAAAATATTTTATATGCACTTGATAAGCAAAATGCCTCAAGAAAAAAGCTCACAAACAAGAAGTTCCTGTGAGTCTCTTACCTGAGAGTGTGAGGATTACATGACAAACACATAAAAGGTCACAATAGGTACACACTTCCCTTCTCACAAACAGGAATGGAGGCTAAAATTTCAGGTGCCATGCCCCCAACCTCTTCTTCTGGTCTTGTTTCTAAATTCTGTAATAAATCCGTGAAACAGGCCATCCAGTTGTGAGAAGACAGATGCAAAAAGTATTTCCAGACTAGGAAGCCTAAGAGTTCCAGTGAAATCCTATGTCCAAGTAGGAAGGTCAGTTGAAGAGCTGGAAGACTAAAATCCCCAGTCCTCTGAGCTGCAGGAAGATTGGGGATAGAGTATGGCACAGCCTCCCTGACCTGGGAGGCTCTGGAGGGTAGTTAACATTAGAAGTCAAAAGGCACTTCCAGCCAGGCTGAGTTAAGTAGAGGGCAGACTTTCTCCTCTGAAAGTAGAACCGAGCCCAGGACTGGCAAGTTAAGGCATTTAACCTTAGGCCAGCTCTGTGGGTCAGGAACCTTCTGGTCCCTGGCCTAACTTATCCACCTCACTCACCTTCCCAGAATTCCTCCAGTACTGCAAGCTGTGGCTTGCTAGATTCTAATGATGTAGTTTAAGTAGCTGCCTTGCCCCATTCCTGAGGGGGTAGATTTTCAGGGGTGTAGGGCACAAACCAACAGTGCCCTCAGGTGTCCTTTAAGAGAAAAGCTGCTGAGATGGAAAGGCCAGACTAATCTTGAGACCCTGATGTAGAGAAACCCCCAGGGCAGGGGGACTTTGGTTTCAAGAAGTCTTAGTGTTCATGGGCTCACTTAAACCCCATACTTCAAGTCACTGAGGTCAGGTCAGTTGCTGGAAATCTGAAGTGGCTTGGAACTGCAGTGCACAGGATGTCTTGTGGACTTCTCAGATCTCAGCCTAACCCTGCATTAGGGAGAATGTTCACTGAGGTGAAAGCAGTATTTCTAGGATCTTTAGTCTAAGGATCTCAGTTTATATACTCTTGGGAGATAGGAAAGGAAAAAGACTGAGGCAGGGGAAGGGCAGAGGAAAGAGGCTCATTTTACTGCCCTTTGGGCCTTTTCTTCTTCCTCCTCCTCCTCCTCCTCTTCTTCTTCTTTTTTGCAACTATGGCTCCCAATAGGCAATTATTGCTTATGTTGAATTTCCCTTTGTATGTACATGCAAGACTGTTACATCACATTGGGAGAGTCGTTTCAAGCTTGTTTTGCTGATCCCTCTCTAGCCTGAGCAGAGGATGGTCTGTTCACAGCTGGGGAGGCTGAAAACTGGAATCCTGTAGCCATAACCAAGGCAGGTTGTGCTGCAG